TTAAATCGACGCTAACAAGATGGATTGGTAAACGTAAAATGCTAATGTGGAGTTCGTGTCGGTCATAAGAGGGTTCGTCGAACACAAATTGGGCATAAATCCCAAATAGGAGGATTTCGTCAAACATAAACTGCGTCACACCTGAAAGAAGTAAATCATAGGAGTGGGTCGGCCCAAAGGGAATGCACAACGAAGAAATCAAATTGCACTCCTCCAATGTAACTAACTAGAGCTGGGCAGAATACTTTCAAAAAGTATTTGTATACTAAATAGTAAATACTTTACACAAATCAAAGGTATTTGAATACTAAATACTTTTACCTCCAGCACAAGCGAATACTAGATACAGATACATTGAAAAGTATTCAAATACTTTAAAAAATAAGTATTCAAATACTTTAGAATGTATTCGAATACTTTCAAAAGTAAGTATTCTAATACTATCAAAGGTATTCGAATAGTATACTAGATAAAAGGCTTAATACTACTTAAACAATCAATTATACTTTGTATGGGGTTAGCTTTTTTTAAATTTCTATATATACAAATTTAAGGGGAGTAAAAGCGTATTATTATTATTATATAGGAGGTACCTACCAGGACCTTTCTTATACCAGTTATATCCTTAAGAATACGTGTACCAGTTTTCAAAGCGATCGTACGTCGTGCACATGATACGTACGCCTTTCTGAAATTAATCTTAGCGATTTTGGAACAGATCCATTTTTGACCATCCGTTTGTCCGTGTGCATGATAACTTGTTTAGAAACGTGCGATCGCTTTGAAAATTGGTACACATGGTCTTAAGGATATAAGAAAGGTCCCTATTGTTTTTAAGTTACGTAGACTATCGAATCAAAAAGTTTCACTCCAGGATCGTTCGGTATTCAGTTGTATCGGATTTTTATATTTGATTTTGTGACAATGGAAACTTTCTCTAAACATTTCTAAATTGTTCTCAAATATTTGAATACTTAAAAGTACCTACTTTTTTTGAGGCCGGGAAAAAAATGTCTGAGATCGACCGGGAAAAAACATTTTCTTATAGAATTTGGCCCGTAGAATCCATAATTTTAAACAATTTGAAGATTGGGCTACTAGAAGTTACAGCCCTTTGAATTTTTTTCGAAATTTGTTTTTTGTACATAACTATACCTATATTGAGAGGTTTAATCGAAAAAGCACGAATTGTGAGAAGTCTGATCGAATTACGCACCAAAATTAATAAGAAAAAGTGTTTTCCCGAGAAATTTTGGTGCAGTCGATTTTTGGTAAAAAAAGAAGGTTATACACTGCCTTTTTTTGAGGC